GGGGGGGGGGGGGGGGGGTGCGGGGGCGTACTCTTAAGTTTTGCATGCCTTAGTTGTTGGGCTAGACAGTTGGCCACGCGCCCTCCAGAGAACGGAGCATTGTTCCCATAGCACCGATCACTGACGGCTAGTCGTCGTCCCTTCCTACTTTGCCAAAGGTGGCTCAAAAATGTCTTCGCTAGTCTATCTATCCTTTCGATACCATTTTCCCGCCTTTCCACCCCACTTCCTGTGCCCCAGTACGGCTACCGTCTTCTCCTGGCCGACGGGTAGGCGGGGGGGGGGATGTACTCATGTAAAGGCATGCCGTAGTCATTGGGCCGTTATCCTCGCGTCCCTACAATGCCGGGACGTCGGATGAAGGGGAGGGGGTGGGGCGTATGCGAAGGCGTTCGTCGCAAGAAGAACAAGCTGCTGGGAGTCGAAGGTCGTGGAGGAAGAGGAGGAGGCCCTGTTGTGGGAAGTTGTTTGTGCAACAAAATTATCACGCCTATGTATTGTGTGCATACTGGTATTAGGTGCCCTACCGGTGCGTCTGTAGGAAACGTAGAACATGTAGAAAATGCTTCGATGATGTGTGTGCGTTGGTCCCGTTAATCGTGGCACCAGTCCACGCGCCTTTCGATGTGCATGTTGACGTGTCAGCCGGGGTTACACAGGAGAGTTGTTTCGTACGTACGTATGTAACTACCCCCCGCCTTTCCTCCTGCAGTACAACTTGCCGTAGAAAATATGACTGCAAGCAAAATATGTACTTCGAAGTGTGTATGAACGGCACCGTCGGTAGATGAAGACATCGGTAGGATCGCGACGAATCGATTTTTCTCTGTCCTGTTTTTCCGTCCCTTGTCAGGGCGATGAGGATGGGCTCTGGCGACATTTGGAGCACAAGCACGGAGAAGGAGGAAGGGGACTTCGTAGCGATGGCGGCACCGCCTACCCATCAAACGTGGGGTAAGAGCTTCTTCCTTTTTCATGGCGGGCCCAGGTTTGCTTGCGTGTTTACCCTAGCATCATGTTTGTGTATGGCTGTGGCGGGGTGTACGGGCGAAAACACTGCTGTCGAGAGATGATAACATTCACACTGGTTGCGTGTGTCGTCACGCGTACGTGTTGAACATGTCGTGTTCCGACCGAACGTGTATCGGGTTTTGCCCTGGGTGTGATGCCTTAGAGGCGAGGCCTGGGGCGGTAGACCTCCAAGTATCGTAGCGGCAGACACCCAACGGCTGAAAGCTCGCGTATCTATTCTACAACCCCGAAACCGCGCGAAACTATTCTACAACCCGGTGGCGCTGGGTGTCATATTTTCTGCTGTTTTTCAAGCGGCTATGGGCGGGGGGGGCGTGACTACGTAGAAGCCTTGTCGAAGCCCCCCCCTTTTGACGACGATGTACTTCACGTTACGCGCCCCCGCTCTCCTCCTTGCGGAATAGCTGTCCTCCCCCCCAACTCTCTCATGCGTACGAAAGAAAAAAATATATTTGGCCTCGCGCTCAAACGTTGCCATGAAACAAACGTGCGTAGGTTATGCGTGTAAATTGTCGATGGTGTCTATCCAATCTATGAACACGAAGGGGACATCCAAACAAGAAAATAACGTATGCCCCGTCCGTCCGTCCGTTCGAGCCACCTTTGGCGAAGTAGGAAGGAACGATTGACCATCGGTGATCGGTCCTGTCGGAACAATGCTCCGTCCTCTCGAGGACGCGTGGTCAATCATCTAACCGCCGAGGCATGCAAAACATAAGAGTACGCCCCCCCCCCCCCCGTCCGTTCACATATGCAACCCTTCCAATCTCCAGGATGATTTTTGGCGGCCGTTCTTTCTTTTCACGCCGTGATGGAGGGGCTGGGGTTGGGCGCGTCTTCCGAGTCGGCGGCCCCAGGAATATTCGCGGCAATCGTGGTTCACAAGGGGCTGGCCGCTTTTAGCCTCGGCTGCATTTTCTTCTCGAGCGAATGTTCCCGGTGAGTTTTTTTTTTTTTTAAAGACAACATACCTACAAAAACAGTCTGAGGAAGACTAAGCCCGTCCGAGGTAAAACCACAGTCGAAGGTGGTGTTGTCGGTGTTGTTCATGAATATTGATAGTGTTGAGTGAAGCTTCGGGAAAATAGGAATAGGAGATGCATGCAAGGGATACAAGAATCGATGAGAATCGGACATTGGCTCAGACTGTCATGGCGGAACAGGAGTCCATCTCGTGTAACGAATGTGTGGAGCACACCCGGTGTAGATGGGCTTCGATACAACAAGGAGTACCAGACGTAAATGACTATTAATACCGTATAAGCTATGACATGCATACAATCACGAAAACAAAATGTTGCCGTTTGACATATATCCACAGTATTCGATATTGTTGTTCATGTGATGGACCTACAATACCTCTTCCCGAGAGCTTTGGGTGAAGCTGCACAATTCTCAACAACAGTAGTTCTACGATACTGTAGTTTCGACAGCGATGATAAATATTAAATACTTGCACGGTGGTTAGAGGACACGTGCCAGCGAGAGAGCGTGCGTCGTGTCGTAGTCTTTTATTTTTTTTTGTGCACCAGTACTTGGTACAAGTCGGAGATGTCGTAGATTTGAGACTGCTGTCCGGAGGAAAAGGGAGGGTTATTGTCGCACCAAGGTGTTTTTTGTCGAACCTGGGGTAAGGTTTCGTCGATTGGCGACGACGTTCCACAACCAGGTTACCGCTTTTTTTTTGCCTTTTGTTTTGTTGTGGTGTTTGCCTATGTTTCTCTCATGGTAACCTTAATGATTGGTGGTCTAGTGGATTATGTTGTGCGGGGTCGAGGACCCTCGCTCCGCGCAAAAGGGGACGATCGCACCACGTTGTGTTAAATTGGTCAAGCACCCTCGGGGCGGTTTCGCAGTGCTCATTACCGTCTCTGGAAGTGAAAGCACCAGAAATTAAATCAAGTCATTCGCAGCTGTCAGCCGTATGCAAGGAAGTAAGCACAAGATGCCTAACACCCTTAGCAGGATTCAGCGCACC